TTTATCTCTAGTCGAAGTACAAGAAAACTTGTCGAAATAGGTCTCTTGTGAAAGCAGCAGTAGCGAAGGAGTTTCGGCCGAATGGCTGCTGCTTTTTTGTTTTTGCCGCTGACGTTTGAACAAACCTCACTGACATGCAGGCAAATCTATCATTCTTGCCAAGGGTCAAAAAGCTTAGGTTTTTCGATCCGTTTGCTCAATGATCACGCAGCATATGACTGATGCGGTTTACAGCGGAATTTCGCATATTTGGTCTAAACGTTTCAGTCGGGGCTATGGAAAATATTAGTTTTTGATCCATTCAGCAGCGTGGCCATTGAGCAAGCACAGTCTTTCATGAACTTCATTCACAAAGAATGACAACGCATTCGCTAGTATATATTGCGCTATGCTTACAAATTCTCAACCTCATGTTTTGTCACTCTTGAGAAATTGGCCATTAATGGCCTTTTGTTCATCCTTTCGTTCATTTGTGTTTCGCCGGTTATGTGACAAATAAAATTTCTTCGTATCGGAGAGGTCAATGGAGGTGATGGCGACTAGCGCGTTCATGAACGTGCCGAACCTCACAATATAGATGTGGCATTAGGAGGCCTGACGAACATGCAACTTGACAGATTAGGGGATCATTTTTTCTGCTCTTCTATTCTCCATGACCTGAATAGAATAAATGAGAATAATTACATTGTCTATAGCTGTACAATGCTTTATATCGAACTAAATGATAGAAAAAAATTCCAAATATTTGCCAATTTCATAGAACAGACTTGAAGCAATCGTTAGAGCAAAATGAACTGAAAAAAATGAAAATCAGTGGAGGTTGTTACACATGGCAAGAAGAGCAGCACAGGAAAAGTTGTCTGACTGCCATTATTGCGATATGATAATTGCTGATAGACATTTGCACCTGGACAACTCTTTTACTTGATAATTAAATTTGCCCACGCTTGGAACCTTACGTAAGGCTAACAAATTTCAGTGTGCTTCTAACCGAACCACCATAGCGGTTCTAACGTCTTCTATCGTCTTCCTAACGGGGAAATGTTTGCTGATTTTGACCAACCCAATAAGTGATTCATTACCATAAAAAGCAAAATATACGGATATTGCTCCAG